TACACTTGCCAGTTATTTTTACCAACTGTGTCCCATTGTGGAGATTTATCTCTACTTCCTGTCCCAAAGGCCACAACAGGAAGTGAGAGGAAATCCCTCCAAATTAAGGGAAATCCCTGGTTGTCACCAGGGTCACCAGAACTAGTGTCCTTATTGAAAGATTCCCCTCTATTCCTGTTTTGGTGACATTTTAACATTTTGGATTTTATTTTTTAACTTTACGTTTCAGTGATAACCGTCACAGGACAGACAGAGTGGGTGAATCTCCCTAAATGGGATACCGATAGCAATAAAAACCTGACACCCTGACACAGGGGTTCTACACTTCCACACTCAAAACTAAAAAAAACAGTTTTTGTCTTTAGGTCTACTTTAAAGTTCAATTGAACGTACAGTTTAAATTATTTTAATACATTTCAGGCACATCAAAACAAATAGTGTGTAAAGTCTTACAGTTCACTTTCCCTCTAAAGCAGCCACAGTGTGAATAGAAAAGCAGAGTAGGATCCTTGTTCCCTGCAAGTAAGCAGTGGTCTTGTTGCAGACATATAGCTCTGCAAACAGTAAAGGCCGTGACACACTGCAGGCGAAGCAGCGCGGAGCGGTGGCGCGCTGCCTTTGCGAGCAGTAATCCTTCCTGCTGATTGGAGAACTGTTGCTGACTCAGCAGGAGGGGCGTGCTGGACCTCTGCAGAGAAACCACTGCTTATACACAGAGAGCAAGGGTCCCATTCTGCTCATGCTGGCAGGCCACAGGCTTTCGTACTCAGGCTGGGGAAAACAAACTAAGACTTTGCACACCTTTTGTTTTGATGTACCTGGAACAGACCTGCGTGTTTGTGTTCCTGGGCAGCCAAGTGGGACAGTTTGCAAAATTCTGAGACAAGTTTAGTCATTGAAAATAAGACAGATTTTCCCTCTAAACAGACGCACAATTAAGAAGTGGTCGCGGTCAGGTTTTATTCTGACACATTGCTACTACGTAACAGCTGAGGAGGAATTTAAAACTCAAGCTGTAACCTTGTAATAAATCTGTTGCACAATCTGTCTCTCTGCTCCAGTTTTACATTGCTTGTGGGACAGGATCAGTTAATGTTATTTAACTGTTAAAATGAGAAAATCTGAGAAGCTCTTTTCAGGCTATATTACTGTCAGTGTCTTCTCTTTTACTGTGACAACCGCCCCCAGGGCTGTCCCTATAATAAGGCAGCCTGAGGCGATTGCCTCAGGTGGTATCTCATTGGGGGGTGGCTGGGTGGTGGGAGAAGTGGCAAGGGGGTGGCCACAGTGTCCCAGGTTGCTAAGAGCGCTTCCTGCCCAGCTCACTGATGTCCCTGGTTGCCAGGAGCTGAGCTAGTCCCTCTGGCTGGCGTCCCACTGAGCTCCTGGCAACCAGTGACGTCCGTGAGCTCGGTGGGACGCTGGACCCCCTTCCACAAATCTGCCAGCAACAACCCCCTTTACTGAAACATCACCTCAGGCAACAAAAGCTATAGGGACAGTCCTAACTCCTCCACTCTTTTTTTTTTTAATCCTATCATTATAAGTAGAGAGTGTGAGCCTTACTTTTTGAGCAAGGGCCTGAACCACTCCGCGGATCTCGCGGTCCAAGCATGCCACGGCGCTATTCAGCTGGTCATGAAGTGTGTGTTGAAACTGTTCTGAGCTTATGGCTTCACATGTCCTTTGCTCCAGAGACTTCCAGTCTAGCTTCTCTGGTAAAGACTGTACTATCAACCTCAGCTGTTCAATGTTGTTCACAATCAGGCACAACTGAGAAGACAAAGAAGAAGAAGTCATACATCACATAGGAAAGATATGGATGGAAAAGAGAAAAGCAGCATCTCCTAAATCCCAAATATATCCCGCATGTTTTGGTTTCCATCCACCTATATCCCACTTTAGTTGCAGTAACAATGCTCTAGCAAACCTTCGGACTTATAGCATGAGGCGACCTGAACACTGGGCAGTATTTCTGGCTTTAATTTTGAGGTATGCCCACATTTCATTGTGTGTATAGACTGAGTTTATATGATTTTATTTGTATTTGTTTTAAGAATGTCACCTTAATTTAAGAAGTAAAGAAGCATTAGGTATACACTTCTTGCTGGATATGGCAAGTGGAAGTGTTAAAGCTGAACTCCATGTAGATTCAAAAACATAATTTTAGCAGATTATGTATCCATTTAAAAAATGCTAATATACAGGTATGTACCTTAATCTATCTTTATATTAGGTTCATGTAATCCGATGCATAGCAAAAGAGGGTTCAGCAAAATTAACCATTTAGCCTCTACTGGATTACATAAGGTTGTCAGTCTACTGCTGGGCCCACACCTTACAACCATCGCAAGACTTTTGTCTTGCGATGGTTGTAAGGTAATTTTAAAAACGTACGATCTGTCGCAATGCCGAACGTGCAGTGTGCGCTTGCGCACACCGGCCCGTCCGGCTTTTATCTTACGAACATGCTACACACCCGCCGAAAATCGTACGATTCTCGGCGGGTTTTCGAACATGTGTCGTAAGATAAAACGATTATCGTAAGGTGTGTGGAAGCACAACTTACGATAATCGTACGATCGCGGGATTCCCCGCGATTATCGTACGATTATCGCAAGGTGTCTGGGCACCTTTACACTAGGAGCTAGGTGACAGAAGGAAAGACCTCACCAATATAGTGACCATCCTTCACTGTCCGTTGCCATTGACCAAACTACAGTATATTGCTTAACTGCAGTGAAGAAAAGTGAGGTCACAGGCCTGGAAAAGTCCCATAGACATGAGTTGTGTCATCCAATCTGGCTTATTTTTTGGTCAGGTTGATGACAACCCAATGTCTATGGGGCAAGGCATAAAGTAATCAAGCATGTTATAATGCCTTGTTCAATTGCAATTGTTTTCCCTGCCCTTCTCTCCTCTATTGCCATAAAAAACTAGAGTTCTCCTGTTTTGATGACAATGTATCTGAGCAGACACCAGGTGACAGTCAAATTGTGCATGCATGTCCAATTTTTCATTAACATCTATGTTCAGCTTTGTGCACAATGGATAGGACCATCTGTGCAAAAAGAAATATCAATGAGTGTCATAACATACCTTGTTTGCAGCCTGTCCAGTATCCCCTTTGTCTGACAACTCCTCAGCTCTCCGCTTAATCATTGTGCAGTATGTGATGGCAATACGGCACATATCCTAGAAAAATAAGTTTTACCAAGGTAAGTCCATCTTTTTAGGGCCAGCCTTTTTAGGATTGTGCATTCTGTGACACTAATTGGCATAACATAGGTAAACACACAGGGGGGGAATTTATCAAAACTGGAGCAGAGAGAATCTGGAGCAGTTGCCCATGGCAACCAATCAGCATCTCTTTTCAGTTTGCTCAGGTAAGATTTCAACACGAGAAAGAGAAGCTAATTGGCTGCAGCGCAAATCTGCTCCAGATTTTGTCTGCTCCAGTTTTGATAAATTTCCCCCAATGTACAACACAGCAAACCAAATGAGGAAATAAAAGAAAAACGGAGATAAGATGAAGATAAAGTACAATTTATAAAAATAACTATGGACCATGGATGTGGCCACATTGCATTTAATGTTCTATAAAATTCCCAGCCAAAGGACAGAGGTCCTGATTAACCAAAGGCAATGTAAGACTGTGGCTATAGGCAGCAGAGGCGTACCATAACCCTCAGGGGTGTCCCTAGCTTTTTCCCACCACCTGGTAATGCACTCTAACCGGGGGGGGGGGGTGGGGGGGTTCTAACCGGCGCTCCGCCCTGCTCCTGGCAACCAGTGGCGTCACTGTTGCAGGAGCTGAGCCGGACGCCAGCCAGAGGCTCCATGCCCGTATGGCCCAGTGACAGCAGTTTTACCTCTTTCCTGCGCTATCCAAAATGAAAAAAAGTTTTGGCTTACAAATAAGTTAGCACTGTTTCAGCGCTGCAAGAAAATGGTGTGGTTCATAAATAAACTAGTACAAATCAACCCAATAAGGTAAATATTGATCCAATAACTCGTGATAGTTTTGCTTTGAGGTTGACTATTTAGAGTAGTTAAGTAGTAGAGCATATGGCCAGGTTAAGTTAAGGTTAGGGGAAGGGATAGGGTTAATTTTATGTGTTAGGTAAGGTGTTAGGGGATTATTTTAAAGCCGGCCTTAACACTCAAAAATCAAACTCTGCCAAAACATCCCTCTATGTACAATGATTAATAATAACATAGACATGTCAGGTGTAAAATGCTGTGATTTTGAAATACTTGCACTTGCAGAGCATTCACTTCCTGTTTTGAAAGGGCAAAATGACTTCAGTTTGCCAAAGCAATGCACACTGGGATGGCCTTGTCATCAGCACCTCAGGAGATCTCAGGGAAAGGCATTTTCCTCCCCTGAGATGATGTGCATGGTCACATGTCTAGGCACATGTGCCAGAAATCCAGGAAGTAAAAGGAGAGCTAGTAATCTGCCCTTAGTAAACATGGCCACTGTCAGAAGACTGGGAAAGAAAAGAGAAATAAGGTATGCAAGGAATACAAAGCCGGCAATGATCTAGAAGTATGAGTTTGTAGATTGTCATTACTGAACATTTCTAAAGGTACCTTTGTTATTATTTTAAAGATATGGGTAAAGGTCCCCTTTAAGGACCCATTCAGATCATCTCCAGACCAGACCAGATTGTTTCCGGACCCAAAATGCATACTATTCTTTTTCTGGCCTCTGTTCACACCAGCGCAGTCCGTTCCAGACCAGACCAGAAAAATACTGCTTGTCTCATTTTGTCTGGTCTGGAATGTGAACTGAAACGCATCAAAAACGCATGGAATGCACTGGAACGCGCCTGAAAGCCCATTTTAAGCTTTAAAAAAAAACAGCTCTGCAACGCAGCAAAAACGTGATGCACTGAATTCCAGATCTGGTCCACAAATGGTCAAAATGGTGTGAACCCAGACTATGGGATATGTTTAGGGTTAGGGTAGATTGGGTGTTAAGAGTGTCATGTCAGTATTGGAGGTAGGTTAAGGGTTATTTTAGTGTGTAGGTTAAGTGTTAAGGGGATGAAAAGGGTAAGTGTATGGGTGACAGTAAGTGTTAGGATAGGTAATAGTTGACTGATGTGCAATAACAGTAAAATAGATTGGGACCCCTCAGTAAAGCGTAATGCATAAATTCACCAATTTCTCGGAATAACTTGTAACCATGTAGGATAAAAAGGTATTTTATTGTTTTCAAAAACAAGAAAACAATCTTTGTAAAGAACACCACAAAATAAAGAAATAAACCACAAACAATTATATGAACCCCCACCACATCACATTAAAACACATAAAAATCCCCTCAAGTTTAACCATTAATTTTCTCGGAATGTATTTAAATATAATTGATATAGTACTCAGTGGTTATTGAGATTTGAGACGGTGACCCTTGACTCCTCATGGCACCTAGGTGCATATCTAATTGATGAATAATAACACTGACATTTCAGTTTACTCTGGGTGCTAAAATCCCCATGCCCAAATGGCCCAGTGCAGTGTTTTGACCTGTCGTGGTATAGGGGTGACCCAACGTAATTAGTAGGGCTGACATCCAATTATGAAAAAACAAACAAAGAAATGCTGTGTTCAATGTTTCAACTAATTACAATTATAGTGGAAGAAGCATTAGATGCAGAAATCATTTTTATCGCACCCTAAAAATGTTGACAACCCTGCATAGGGATGTATGCCATCCCCTTCCCTGCCATTCTTTACCCTCCACACAAAATAAAAAGTTTGGATGAGGCATCTTTAGTGTTCATTGACGATCACTTACATCAGTGAATTTCACCATTATCATAAATGCTTCCTCGGGATCAGGCCAGGCCAGCTGCTGCCATGTGCGTCCAATCTGTGTGAAGCATGTTGACAGGTCAACCGTGGAAGAGCTGTGCTTCTGCAGCTCAGAGAGAGGAACCAGCTGAAAAGACAACATTACAATATTGTCACTAACACTGCAGACACGCTCCTGGGTGTATCCATCACTGTGTCACTAGGTACAGCAGACTGCCAAATGGTGGCTTTAGTGGTTTTTAGTATATACTGTAACAAGGAATATCACCTACCTAATCTAATGTCATATTCAGCTTATGCCAAACTACAGTTGGGGAGGCTTGCAGGTTACCAAGCATTCATTGCAATACAGAAGAATTTACAAACTCAGTTATTTGTGAACCCTAATAAATGTGAGCATGGGCCAGCTCAATGGGTAAATGCAGGGCCATCCCTGGCTTATCTTAACACAGGCTATCCCCCCTTCAGCCTATCATGAATGCTGCTGCTAGACTCATCCACCTAAACCATCACCTCCGCTCTTCAAAAGACCTTTTGCTTTCCAGCTCCCTCGTCAACTCCTCCCATGCTCGCCTCCAGAACTTCACTAGAGTCTCTCCCATACTCTGGAACTCTTTACCGCAACTTGTCTGTCTCCCACTCTGACTGCCTTTAGGTGATCCCTTAAGACTCATCTCTTCAAGGAAGCCTATCCCACCTCAACCTTCACGTTCTCAAACAATTCATCACCACCAGCTACCTCCTCATGTATCACTTGCCCCTCCCTTTTAGATTGTAAGCCCTCAGGGGCAGGGCCCTCCTTACCATCCTGTCTTGAATTGTATTGTGATTATGTCTTCCTTATATTGAAAAGCGCTGCGCAATGTTTGCAGTGTCCCTGCCACCCTCTTTCCAGCCACAGCGTTCCAGGTTGCTAAGAGCCGGGCAGAGAGATGTGTAGGGGCCATACACATCTCCCCGCCCAGCTCTTAGCAACCTGGTACACTCTGCCCAGCATCCCCGTCTAGCTTCTAGCAACTAGTGATGTCACCGATTGCCAGGACCTGAGCGGGATGCTCTGGCTGGTGTCCCACCCAGTTCCTGGCAACCAGTGATGTCAGTGAGCAGGGTGGGAAGCCAGCCAGAGTCCGTTAGGTTTCATACACCCGCAATGTGCACCACCAGCACATGGGCTAGGGACACCCCTGAACCTTATGTATCAATGTGTTCTTGCAAAACACTAAAATTACTTTCTTGGCCACCAATCAGCATCACATGTTTTAAAACAACATCTCATTTTTACTAGGACCAGACTTCTTTAAAATGACTGTTTTTGTAGTAAGTGTTCTCACCAGGTCTATTTGTACAGCTCTTTGGACTCTTTCAAGTGCAGTGGTATAAGCCTTCTTCATCCAGCTAGGCAATGCATCTGCAAACCATCGGTGGGATTCAGACAGTGGTAGAGGTGCATTCCTAGAACACGGAGAGATGGTGCAGTGTGATTACTCAGATTACAGTATGTGACTTCAGGCAAAAAATAATAGGAGGAATGTAACTATTAATCACAGGGCCCCATTTTTTGGGGCCCCCAAACCTACTGACCCTTAGCTGCTTGTCTCTGCAGTATAGAGCACAATAGACATATTACTTTTAACATTTGTTTTTAGTTTTGGATAGAGTGAAGAGGGATTAGGACACCTGTCAGTTTTTTTTATTGCTGTCTGTGTCCCCATTAGGCAGATTCGCCCTCTCTATTTTTCCTTATGATTTTGGGTTTTCCCCAGAACAGGAATAGATGGGAAATCTTCCAATGCGGACACTAGTTCTGGTGATCCTGGTGACCACCAGGAATTTCCCTTTCTTTGGAGGGATTTCCTCTCACTTCCTCTTCTGGCTATCAGACAGGAAGTGAAGGAAAATCTCCCCAATGGGACAAAGATGGGGAAAAAAAGCCGACAGGGGTTATAACTAGAGGTACACTGAAATGAAAATTTTAAAACCAAAATGAAAAAAAATGTTGTGCCAAAACCGAAACCTTTTTTTTCCTAACCTTTTCAATTTTTTTCAAATATTTTATTTTTATTTATTTTTTATAAACTTTTGAATGTTTGGATATTTTATTTCTTTTTATTCAATATTTTTATTTTTTACTTTACTTTTAGGGGCTTCGGGGAAATATTAGGGATCTAAACAGACCCCTGATATTTCCCTTTTAAAATAGAAAAAGAGTTTGAAAACACAGAGTCCTCAATCTCTTTTTCTGTATACCCTGTTATCAATGAACAGGAATCCTCTATGCTGAGTGTTCCTGTTCATTCATAACTTGGGGACAGAGTTTGTTTACTATAACCACAATCATGAATGAACAGGAGGTGATGTAGATCAGAGGTAGCCAATCTTGGCCCTCCAGTTGTTGTGGAACTACAAGTCCCATGATGCATTGCAAGGCTCTGACAGCCACAGGCATGACTCTCAGGGGCAGAGGCATTATGGGATTTGTAGTTTCACCACAGCTGGATTGCTAAGGTTGTAATTGATGTAGATCATTTCCCATTCATTTATAATTGAGGATATGGTAAACATACTCTGTCCTCAATTATGTACAAACATTCAGCGATCAATGATTGCTGAGTGTTTGTACCTTGCTCTCCATCCTGACAGCTGTCACAGGAGGCTGAGCGAGCAGTGTGGGGAGGAGAGCTCAGCCTCCTGTGACAGCGCTGGCTGTCTCCGCCCACACACCGCTCTTCCCTGATCTATGACAGGAGGCTGAGCGGTGCGGAAAAGAGAGACGCCGGCCGCTCACAGCGCTCTTCTCCCGCAGCGCTCGGCTGCCTGTGAAACTTTCTCTCCTCCCCGCTGGGACACAGAGCAGTGCCCAGCAGGGAGGAAAGAAAGTACGCGTGCGCCGCTATATCGGCAGAAACATGGCACTTTCGGCATTTTGCCAAAAGTGCCATTTTCTGATATGTTTCGGCGGCCAATATATCGGTGCATCCCTAGTTATAACCTCCTTTAATCTATCCAAAACGGAAAAAAAAAAAAGTTGTGGCTTTAGGGCCGGTTCACACCACAAACTCCGCGTTCCAGTGCGTTCAGCCTCTGGAAGAGAGGGTGTGGCGGTGCAGAGGGTGTGGCGGTGCATTGAAGTCAATGGAAATACACTTCAAGAGCGGCTTCTGAATATGCATCTAATCAGATGCAGTTATTATTCGGCCTAATTATTTTGGACCGGCTCCTTCAACAAACAAATCTGTTAGGTGCAGCAAGTAGGTCATGGGGGCATTTCTGATTCCTTGATCTCAATTTTGCGCACTGCCTCCTAGAGGTGTAATCCCACACCAGCATTCTCTGCTGCCTGAAGATTACCTATTTGGTAGGAAGTTGTGGAGGTTGTGAAGTTCACGGAGAATGAGATAAAGTTGATACAAGGGCTCAGAAAGCTGCTGGCGACAACTGTGGTCAGCAGGTGGTAGCTGACTTAGTAAATGCTGGGAGACCTGAAGGAGTAAAAAAAATAAATAAATACAATGATAGGTCAGATGGTAAGAAGCCAGGCTATGCAGGAACTGTAACGCTTACCAGTTGCTCCAGTTCTAGGAACGTCAGACTGAAAATATCAATCTTGATAGTGCTAAGGAGACAAGAGAAGTATTACAGATACAAAGTAAATGTACAAATTGTGGACCAGAATCAGAATACAGAGAGATAGCGTTTTTTTTATTCCAGTTTGTATACAACAACAAGTGTCTTTCCTGTTTAGATAAATAGTGTTGATGTGCAGTTCAAAATTGTACTTCCTTAATTTCTTACTTGATAAAACACTTATTGAAGTACTTATGACAATTCTGGAGGTCTGTGGTGACATCTGCCACCAGGCTTAGCAAAGACTTCAAGTTTTCCTCGTAGCCCTGCAAAAAATCACATATGTTATACTATAGATATTCTGGAAGAAAACTAAATTGGTCAGCATATGATCCATTTGTCTAAACATCACAAGAATCCTTTTGTATCATATTAATTAACATAGTTAATTTGGTTAACAAAAAAGACTCATGTCAATCAAGAAGAAAGCAAAACAAAAACCTTAATGGATCAAAGTATTACCATGTTTTACTTTACTACAGCAGATGGCAGTGACATGAAGGTCAGCAGGAGGAACGAGTGAGAGTGGCCAGGGACCACAGACACTCCCGGAAAGGTTGGTTTCCCAGCAGACTTCAAGGGAATGTATCTCAATAATGCAGGGTTCAGTGATGTGGGCAGCAGTCAAGGTTAGTATTACCTCTGTTATTTAAAGGTATGTGCTTAATGGATCTAGATTATCTATGTGACCATACACCTATAAATTGTCTGCAGATTTTCTATGGTCAGAAGGAAAAAGTGATTCCTCCATCTATGCTAAACTGTGTGGATGGAGGAATCTCCCGCTGGGCCAAGCTTCAGTATCTTGCTAGTCGGCCCCGCTGGCTGAGAACCAGTCCAACAAACAAGAATAAACAAGACCATTCGCAAAACAAAAGATGGTCTAAATAGCCGTGTAGCCCCTACCACAGTAAGTGGACTGGCTACTAAAATTTAGTGTTGATAGCACTGTAATCAAGCTGGCTGATTTGTAGTTTGACGTTATCTGGTTAATTCCAGGTGTTCTGCTATTGATTGCACCTGCCTGAGTGGGGTGTGACCCCGCTGCAGAGTGGGGCAGCCAATAAGGGAACATCAGGAGTGTCTATGCCTCATCAGCCAATCACTAGGAGTTTAATGGCCAGTGGCGCATGCTGGGGGAGTGCCTAAATACTCAGGGATTGTCATGTGCTAGGGTTCAGTCTGCCCCCAGGCTTGACCTGGGGGGTGGCATGCACAAGGTTGGAGAAGCTGACTAGGCCTCAAGCCTGGGGGAGGCCACATGTGGACCCAGGAGGGGTCTGGAATGGTCTGGGGAGGAGAACAAGAGGAGCTCTATGACTGTTTCAGGAGTTAATATGGACCTCGGGAATAAGTCTGGTGTCTCTCCCAGAGAACATCTCATGCACAACCTTCTTCAGTTTCTGTTCTACTGCAAAGTGCCAGCCTGTTCTACTAAAGTATTTTCTGCACTGTGGAAGCCTGAAAGGATTGGTTAGTCTGGAGTCTGCCTATTTTTGGTATAGATGTCTGAACCCCTATACCCTCTCTCCCAGTTATGCTGTTCTACGATAAAGCATTTATAAAAGCACTTAAAGTGACTGGCGCCCAAATTGTCGATCACATGTCCCTTCACTGGCTAAGGATCTGGCCGTGAGAGTGAAATGTCGGCCCTCCCTACCCTTTGGGGATCCACCTTAGGCCTCTGGTGGTCAGGGGGGCACTACAGCCACTTGAAGAACCTGTCTGCCAAAACTAGCATCAGAAGTGGCAGAAACATCACCAAATTTGAACAACTGAAGCCTGATTATGAAAAGCTGAAGAAGTTCTAATTAACCTAGTATAGTGAGCAGAAATAGGAAAAGGAGGTACTTTATCCTGCAGCTCATAGGCTTGAGCAACAACCTGACGAATCCACCTAGAAATGGTGGAAAAAGTAGAAGCCAACAGTAGAAGACAACCTTTCCTAGGACCTTCAGGGATGATAAACAAAGAATCCTTATGTTTAAAGGAAGATGTGGCAGAAAGATAAACTCTAATAGTTCGCACAACATCCAAACAATGTAGAGGAACTTCCGTAGGATGTACTTGAGTAGGACAAAGGGAAGGCAATATAATGTCTTCAGTAAGATGAAAGGCAAAGACCACTTTTGGCACAAAGGAAGTACGTGGTCTTAAAACAACCTTATCCTTGTGTAGAATCAATGTGGCAGTTCCGAGACTCATCTAGTAGAAGTTAAGTAATGGCTACAAGGAAAGCAACCTTTTTAGACAAAAGTCATACAGAAATATCACAAATAGGCTCAAAGGGTGGTCTTTGTAAAACTGATAAGATCAAGTTCAGATCCCAAGGATGTAATGGAGATCGAACAGTAGGAGCCACATGTACAACCCCCTGAATGGAGGTGTGAATGAAAGAATAAGTAGCCAGAGGCCGCTGAAAATTTTCTGAATGTTTCCATGCAAATCACTATATGGCTTACCTTACATAAACAACTTTCCAACCTAAAATAACACATTTATGCCCCTAGTCATACCTGTATCATTGGCTGTAGATGCTGTTTCTTCAGATCAAACCACTCATGGGTCCCTGTCTAAATTGGAGAATGTGAAAATAAAATCAGCCATGTACCACGAACACAATCCTCTGTAAACAGTGAAAATCTCTCCCCATTGTTACCTTCATAGCCTCAGTTATCCTGTCCTGCAAACCGGGAGTGGCTGAGCACAGTTCTCTAAAAGCCTTGGTCTTACACATCTGTATCAGCACCCTGCATGAAAAATAAATCAATTATTGTAATAGTGTAATTACACTGAAATTAAATTGACTGTTTCTGACTCCCAAATTTTTTATAATAAATATTAAACATGTATTAAAAGGGATTGTGTATCTTCAATATATGTATGGACTCTTGGTCTTTAGTAAAAGAGGCTCCTGGGTGTTAAAAGCATGGCATTAGGATAGGTGTTACTGTGGGGCCTATGCTTCCTAAATATTCAAGAAGATACAAGATAGCTAGTTACTGTAGCTCCTCTAGAGGGTGGGTAAAGAGGTGGGGTATCCACATGCGCATACCTCCCAACTTTCTGAAATGAGAATGAGGGACACATTCCAGGACAACGAGGGGAATTTATCAAAATTGGACAAAATCTTTAGCAGCTGTGCATGGCAACCAATCAGCATCCACCTTTCATTTTCAAAGCTTAACTGAACAAACAGAAGAGAGAAGCTGATTGGATGCCATAGGCAAGTGCTCCAGATTTTGTCTGCTCCAATTTTGATAAATTCCCCCCAAAGTATTTAGGCAATGGGCACACCCTGTCACATCCTCACCAAACCATTAAGAATTTATATGCCAAAAATGACTGTTTAAACCCCCAATTGTTTTCACCACTACATTTCCTTTATACTTTTTTTTGACATAGCAAAGAAGAGCATTAAAAACATAATATAAAAGATTAAATTCAGGAAAAAACACTTTTGGTACTGAAATAGTATCTTTTCATAGATATCTGCACATCAGGCCAGGAAAGAGGGACAATGGAATTTGGTTCCAATAGGGGACAATCCTCCCAAATGAGGGACATTTGGAAAGTATGCATGTGGGTGCAAGGACAGATCAAAGACAACAACCACATCTAGCTATGGGATGTGTTTCTTGCCTCCTGATTTTCCTACCTTGTCGCCTTATAGTCTACTGTCACAGCTTTATTGGCAGGGTTTAACTCGCCAGAAGTCAAATAGTCTGTGATTGATGCCCTCAGCTGGCCTTGGTTAGTCAGATATCTGTCCTGACCAGAAGGTTAGGACAGGCCTTTAAGCCATGTGATGTTAGGTACTCTCAGTTCATGTGGGTGGCACTAGTATTTCTTGGATACTGTGTGTAATCAGTTTGTTTGCCATTTTTGTAGGAACAAGTATGCGTTATAAATCAATCAATTGGCTTTCTCCATAATAGTTTAGCGATTTTATCAGGTAGGTAAGGGGCAATGTAAATGTGTTTGCATAGATAGGTAGGGAGTGCTCCTGTGACTGTTACATATATTTGTGAATGCTTTTTGTATGCAAAGCAGCTTTTATTACAAGTTAGTAATCATTTATAGCTACTGACCTGAGCAAACCCTGGAGGCGTTCTACTGATTGGGGTGCGGACATTGGAAACACAATGCGATACCGCTGAATAACAGACATTCCGTATTGCAAAAGAGAGTCAAAGGATTCCGCCAGCTCCTTCCTCTGGAGATAATTAGATGAAAATCACAAAGCATGTAAGAACATCGCAATAACAAGAACAGGTGATAAGATTGGTACACCTTATTTGGTTGGTTAATTGAATTCGGAAGGAGCTCTGTGCGAAGGGGATCTGAGGAACACTTTTTTTGGAGCACATTTTGGCACTTATTTGAGCAGTTTTTGCACATCAGCACTTTTGTGGACTATTGAAGCTGCTATGTACTGACACTTTACGGGAATCATGAGCATTGATCAGCACTATCTGGCATTTATATATTAATTATATGCATCAAATAACACTTTTGGTGTATTAATTATGAATATTGGCTGACACATTTTGGTATATATTAATATGGGAGTGTAAGTTTCACTTGTATAAGCTGTATTAATATATTGCATTTATTATTGTATTGGGATGACTGTAGAGAATATTGATTGATTATAGTAGGCACTTTGGTTTTGCAGTTTGATAGATTTTTACGCACTTTGATACTATACTGTATATCTACTTATAGCGCTGGGCAATATTGGTTTTATTTAATTTGTGGTGGTTTGTATCACTTTAGCCCAGCTGCTGGAGGGTATTTAGTTTCTAGATAGGGGCACTGACATTTTCGGAGGTCAAACAAACAAAGAGACCAATATCACCTCTAATATCACCGGGCCTAACTATCTTCATATTTATAAAGGCAGTGTACCAGTTCATCTTGCAGTCGTCCTTGGACCCACAGATACTCAATACTTGTTATGTGGTGCAGCAAACAGCTACTGCTGAACTCCAGACTCTGGTACAGTTTGCTATATGCCAGCCACTGTCTGGAAGGAAAAAAAACAGAAAATAGTAACAATAGTTATAGCTGGCATATAAGATGGATGATAGCCATAGGTTGTCAAGAATCCGCTTTTCTCTGCGGTGGGGATGCATAGGTGTTTGTGATCAGCTGCAGCCAATAGCCTGTACAAATTAACAACAGTCTCGGCAGCTATTAGACTGTAATTGCAGATTCAAGTGGTTTGATGTAATTAGGGACAGAAGAGTGGCCCTGGACACAAAGTGTCGGCGCCCGGGGCCACTTACTGTATCTGTCCCTGTTTTTTTTAAATACTGTATTTGTATCATTAGGATCTTTATTTGTAGTGACATGACTGTATAATATTTTAATCTCATTGGACGCAGCTGTCCTTTTTAAATAAGGATCCTTATATTTCTTTGAAGCTGTGATTTACTAAGGCAAAATAAAGTGCACTGATGTGAACCTGTCCCAATTATGTGCAAAAGATCTTAGCACTGATTATTTTGATTTTCACAATATGCCGGGTCTATTTATTGACAGGCATTGGTTTACTTAAAGGAGAACTATGAGGTGAGTGCTTTTCAATGAGACTGTCACAGGTCGCATGTGTAAGAATGCATTGTAGCAGACCTGTTTTATATAATTAATGCTTGTATTTTCAGAAGCAACAATAGCAGCCTCCATGGTTTTTTTTGACAGGTTTTCTTTATGGATTCTATGTTGTTGCAGTAAAGTTATAGGAATGAAACTTACGCAAGTCCCTGGTGAAATTCCGACAGATCCTTCTGTGCAGCATGTAAGTAGAGTATTGTAGTGCCATGGGGACCAATTTCTCCATCCCATGTGGTTCCAGCAGTCTGAGGTATGAAAGAGGACAGATTATAGGTTATGCTATGTAAAGATGGTAATGAAAAAAACAGTTATTTTAAAGTGAACCTGTTCCTAGTTGCATACTATAGTGTTACTATATTCTGAAGAAGCAGTAAAAGCACTTTAAAACAAACTCTCATTCTTTTCTGTATCTATAAGCATTGTGAAGTAATAAATGTTTAAAGTTATAGGTTCCCATGGGCAGGGCCCTCCTCTAGTTTTGAATTGTATTGTAACTTCTTTATATTGTAAAGTGCTGCACAAACTGTTGGCACTATATAAATCCTGTATAATAATAATAATAAATCTGGAACAGACATACGGGATTAAGCACGTTATAATGATTAAAAGTTCATTTCATATTTCTCAAGATTCCTACATAATACAGTCACTCTGAAATTATATTTGTGTTCAGCTTGATGGGGTCTATCATAATCATCAAAACATTTTTAGGGAGCAAAACTTTTGAAAAGATTTGTTGTCCATTGTAGTCAGTATGAATTCACAAATGACAGAAGTTGTCAAACAAAACCTTTTTCTTTTTATGAGGAAGTAAGCAATAAATGAGACAAAGGAATGGTTGTGTATATAGTATACTTGGACTTTGTAAAAGTGTTTGACACACTTACTGGAAAGAGGACAGGAATCACCAGCACTCAATACTATCAATAAATATGTCCATTTATTGGACACATCGTCACAGTGAGGAAAGCCAACGTTTCAGGGCCACCTTTTGTCACATCTTTTCGCCCTGATGAAGGCACCCTGCGTGGCCCCGAAACATTGGCTTTCCTCACTGTCACGATGTGTCCAATAAATGGACATATTTATTGATAGTATTGAGTGCTAGTGATTCCTGTCCTCTGTCTTGTATCTTGTATCTGCACGGCACCATCCGTGGTCATCACTGTGAGTACCATTTTCCATATAGGCTGGGAGCGTTGTAAGGAGTCCTAAAAATTATATAGAGTTTGGGATTAAAAGTACAATTTCTATGTTTGCAGATGACATCAAGTGGAATACAGTCCTTACAAGATGTCTCCAACTTACAAGCAGACATGAATGCACTGTGTGATTGGGCATCTATGTGGCAATTGAAGTTTATTGTTGATACATTTTAAGTTATGGACTACAAACATGCATGCATCATACACCCTGGGGATGTACAATTGGGGAAGTCAATGATGGAGAAAGATCTGGGTGTTCTGGTAGACTTAATAATAGCATGCAATGTCAAGCTGCAGTTTGTAAAGCAAGCAAAATACTTTCTTGTATAAACAGGGTATAGACTCCAGAGATAGAGACATAATCCTTCCCCTGTACAAAGCATTAGTAAGACCTCATCTGGAATGTTCAGTTCATTTTTTGGTACCAGTTCATAAAAAGGATGTTGTGGAACTGGAGAGAGTGCAGAGAAGAGCAACTAAACTGATAAAAGCCATGGAGGAGCTCAGCTATGAGGGAAGATCACCTGAACTGAATTTGTTCTCTCTGGAGAAGAGGTGATCATAGGGAATCGCCATCTATAAATACATCAATGCTCCATATAGCCAACTTGGTGCAAATTATTCACTTTAAGGTCACTGTAAAGGACAAGGGGGCACTCTCTGGGTCTGGAGGAAAAGAGGTTTAACCTTCGTATATGGAAAGGCTTCCTCACAGTAAGATATGTGAAAATGTGGAATAGGCTTTCAAGTTCTAGATAGTAGTTAACTGTTTAAAAAAAAAATCTGGATGCATTCCTAAATGTACAGAATATAGCTAGATATTAACTTTTTAAACACCAGAGACTGTTGATGCAGGGAACAGCTGATTGCCTTATGAAATCACAGAGATTTTTTCCCCCTGTTGGAGCAAATTAAATTATGCTTTATAACGGTTTTTGGCCTGTTTCTGGATCAAATGTGAGTAACTTGTGGGTATAGGGTTCTGTTTATTAAGTTTTTTCTTCTATTTTTGCTTTTTAGTTTTTTTTTGTTCTTTATAGGTTGAATTCTATGGACTTGATGTCTTTTTTTTTTAACCTGAGTTACTATGTAACAAATTAACAAGTACCCAACCACCCAGTATTGGCTATTAGCAAAAAAAATAACAAAAAACCAAACAAACCAAAAGCAGTACATAAATTATGGTAATGTTCAGATCAGTGTAGTTCATAATGCTCGAATCAGAGTTTAGACACAAACACGGAAAGCATACTTAGACCTCTGTCTAAAATTGTTGGGTAATCGGAACACTAACACATTGCATGCTAATGACCACAAATCCGTGAAAAAAGTCTTGCAAATCCCTAAATGTGCGGAGTACACAGTAAGCAAAAGAATATTTGTTTTCCTAAAGAGCAGATACAGAACTAGGACAACTAGCAAAAATATTTCTAAATGTTAAAAATAAAGGACAATTACTGCACAATGTACTCTTTAAGCAAGACATACAAGAAAACACTGAACTTTGTTGCATCATGTTAACTACAAAAACATACTTAGGGGTCTATTTATAAACTAACCACATGGCCATTCTCCCTGTGTATATCTATGAACGTTTGATCTGTGCAGATATATCCCAAAATAAATGTTCTCTAGTTGTTTCTGTACAAAGCAATGTATTTTAACTGTTGGCTTTTGATGTAATACTTCTTTATGGTCACTAGATGGAGCTGATGAGTACAGAAAATACATTCTTATTTTCTATGCTCCTTTGGCGTCATCTAGTGGCCATAATGTGATATTACATGAAAACAAGAAACGTTCAGATATTCGTAAGGTATACTGTTCAATAACACCACAGTATACTGTATATACTGTAAACCCTATAAACCAAGTTATGGCTTGTTACATATGCCATGGAAAGTCTTTGTTTTATCTGTTCAATAAGTTGAAACAAATTCTTTGATCCTGTCAGGAATCCAGTAAACTTGTAACTTCCTGTATTGAGCTGATAATGTTGCCCTGAAATCTTAAACATTGTTACCAGCCCTTCCTGATTTTTCTCTGAACTTCTCCCACTATGTAATGAAGATGGGGGGGTTCTGTAGTACACACGTGTTCTAGGGTGACAGTCCGCAATAGATACAGTACAGTAAGTGAGCATAGCCACCCTAGGTCAGGAAGGGTGCTGCTGGCAGGATCATCCCGGATTTAGATATTTTAAAACAGAGAAAAATGACACACTAAGCCGTCATAGTTTGACAGTAGTAATACTACTAACCAAATGTAATTCCAAGAACTTCAATGTGTGAACATAACAATCTGCCTGTTTAAAAACAGTATGTGTATATATGTGTATATCCAACCTAACAGAAGATTAACAGATTAAACGTATGGCGAGTTATATACCTGGTGGTGCGTGATCTCATGACGTACAAACTGCTGTAATAACTGGCGGTGGATGATGTAGCTGGGGTTTTTGCTCAGCATAGTCGCTCTCTGAAAGTGAAAATACCAGTCAAATATTTGAATGATGATAAAAGGCAGAAGCAAGAAAGACATTGCAGAGCCATCCAACTTCATCAACACTTGTTCAAAAATGTTTTCATAAACCTAAACAGGTGAAAAATACTGATGAGGTTTTTTTGAGACTGTCACAGGTCGGGTCCGTACATCGGGAGGTGAGCGAACACATACCGGCGTTCGCTCACCTCTCGATACTGTCACGGCTCTCTGCCGTGACAGGGGAGGGGCTGGATTCCCCCCTCCCCGCTACGATCCGCCAGCGCTGACTGGCGGAACGGACGGGGAGGGTACAGCTGGCTCTGCCTCTAGATAGGCAGAGCCAGCTGTCAGTCACGCAGCTGGGCGGATCCCGGCACAATTGCCCGCTACAGCTGCGGCGTCTCAGTATACCGCGAGCAGCAGCTCGCGGTATACTGAGCCTAGGGTGACAGGAGGCCGCTAGTTTGTGTCCTCCCGTTACCCTAAGGAGAACTATGTGGAAAAGCCTTAACCCCATAGTTCTCCTTTAAGGTGCCCATACACCTGCTGATTATCGTACGATAATCGCGGGTGATCCCGCGATCGTACGATAATCGTCAGGTGTATGGGCAGCGTGCGACCGCTTCTACTGTAAGGTCGCACGACATTCGTCTTCCAAGCACGCTTGAAAACCTGCCGAAAATCGTACAACAAGTTTTTTTGCATGCTGGCTGATGAGTGTGCTGGGAAACATTTTGCTTTTGTACTGTATTAAGCCCTTCCATGTGCACCTTGCTGTAAAGCTGGTAACAAATTGATGAGTGCGTTTGCCATTTGTTTTGCTTCTACTATAAGGTCGCACAACATTTGTCTTCCGAACACCCTTGAAAACCTGCTGAAAATAGTACGATTTTCTGCGGGTAGATGGCGTGGTCGGGAGACAACAGCTGCACGGGCCTGCTCAGCACTGCAATCATGGATCGCAAGTACGATCTGCCTGTCCAAGAGGGGCAGATCGTACGAAATTTTAATGACCTTACAACCATCGCACAACAAAAGTCGTGCGATGGCTGTAAGGTGTATGGCCAGCTTTAGACACAGAGGCCATTGGTGGACAGCTTCTTCCATCTAGTTCGTTCTGACCCACCAATGACATCTGTGTCAGATCAGGAAAAATAAAACAATTAATAAGCTTTTATGGAGGTTTCGCAAGTCCATTCATTCTTTTTTTTTTTTTTACACAGATTGTTATGTTACCTACAAGAGTTCCCTGGGAAGCACTGGTGATGTAGCATTCCCAGGGGGCAGCTGTGAGGCCCTAGCTACATCGCCAGTGCCTAAATCAACCAAAAAGTCAGATTGAATGAAGGGTCAATTGACACTATAGTGCATGCTCTAACGCAGTTGCGTTGCATTGAGTTTGCAGCATGAGTTGTAACACGCTTGACTCGCATTGCGCTATGCTGCATTGCATTTTTTTTGTTTCTTTCATTTCCTGTGAGGTCGTAACCTTTTTCTTTTTTATTTCAGCGTGTTGTGCTCACATGTGTTTGCGCACATTGTGTTGCGCCAAAGAAAGTAGAGCACGCTCTACTTTTTTCAGCACAGCTAAATGCAAAGCAACGTGCTGTTGTGAACTGGCCTTACTGAATGCTATGTGTTGGGAATGTGTTGAGGAACGCATTTGGTGTAATGGACTCTAAATGTAAGTTACTCAAAAAATATTTTATTTAAGAGATACATTTAATCTGTTTTGTTGTCAGCAAGAAGACAGGTCAGCACCATGGATTTTTAGTGTTGAGGGGAAGAGGTCAAAGTCTGCTATATACCAGTGGCCATCCATTAGAATGGATGCCTAAGGTGTCAGCACCAAAGTTCCAAAAATCACTACCAATAGGATGACTTCTGCAGCTATGATAAAGGGCACTAAATTGTGAGACTGGCTACAGTTGACATAGAGACTTAATATCAATAAGTGGAAAGCATACATCATTTCAAAAAAGAAAACTGTTGTATATATTTTTTCTAATTTAAATCAGGATGTATCCGGAAGGATGCCAGAACAAAAACATTTTCTCACCTTCTTATGTGTTAGAAGAAATTGTAGATGACATCGTCCTCTATCTGGATAAGTCTCTGTCCGAGGTTCTAGATCGTACCAGCGGTCCTCTTTACATTTAAGTTCCTGAGCAGAGATAAACATCTGTATTAACCAGTTGTGGACATTGGAAGTGCTACACATGAAAGTACACAGGGCTTGCCATCCTTCTGCCCCACTGTCACTAACCACTTCCCTCCCCCTTTGCGCATGTACATCAAAATGGCAGAATGGAGTTGATGAGTATATGTAGCAGCAATTACAGTCGCTGCTGTCACAAATTGGACCTTCTGACACAGTGTTTATAAGCACTGCTTAGATACAATATAGAGACATAAATAGTAACATTGTTACTTGGTGAATTGTAATCTGCATTTGATGCCATTTAAAGCAACCTGACAAGTTGTTTGGTACAATTCCTATTTAACCCCTTATTAAGGCCTAGCTTATTCTAAGTCCTAATTAACTCCTTCTTCCCCTTCCCCTCTTAGATATCATTTTCTTTTATTTCTATTTTGAACTATAGCTTTTAATGCTTTCACTATCAGAGTTGTTTTTTTTTTTTAAAACAACTCTGATAGCACAGTGGAAGTGACAGTTTCTCTTTAAGGAAACATTAGGCTGTAAAAGTGATTGAGCAGCTTTACAGCCACCAGAATCACTTCTAGTACAAAGCTGACACCGAGCAGAAGGAATATAAACAACCTCCTGGTTGCTATACATTAGGACAAATTATAAAATGAAATGTATACTTTTTAAGCTATAGTAACACAATTACTAACTGTTTTTTTTTACTAGCACTGATCAAAGTAGACAAAAGGGTGTTTTTTAGTTTTCTTACCTTTTTGTTTATTAGTTGCATTAAGGCCTCATTCACACAGGAAACGGGCGGCCCGTATAGATCCGTGCTGCGTGCACGGCCGTATCAGACAGCTCCCGGGAAGGACAGGTGCTGCGTGTGATTAGTACACAGCCCCTGTCCTTCTCTATGGGAGTATGTGGCCGTACGCTGCCCTACGCTCACCCCAAGCGCAGGTCCGTACGGGTGCGGGTGTCCCAGGTCGGATGCAGACAGGATCCATCCTGTCAGTGTACAAGTACGGACACCCGCACCTGCACGGACATGCAGGGCAGGTAAGCGTAGGGCGGCGTACGGCCGCATACTCCCATAGAGAAGGACAGGGGCTGTGTACTAATCACACACAGCACCTGTCCTTCCCTGGAGCTGCCCCATATGGCCGTGCACGGAGCTATACATGCCGGCTTTTTCTCGTGTGAATGAGGCCTAAAAATAACGATTTTATTTTTGCAAGACCAAAGGAAAGCCGTGCTTGTCCCCCAAAATTGATAAATATATTACTTTGTTATCTTAACTGATGACAGAATTATTGCCGCCCATAGGAACTATACAGGTGTGAGAGATAAAATGGTTTAAAGACTCACTAGTTTAAGAAACAGTATTTTAAATATATTTTTTTTCATCAAAATACTACAGCACATACTTGATCAATATCCTCTGGGCTGGGTGAGCTCCAGAAGATATCTCACTAGTGGTATCTAACAGGGATACAAGCAGCGAGTATTTACAAGTGTCTACTGTAATACCCCAACTTTACTTCAATAGTAATGATTCTGATGAAGGGGCTTGCCCCTGAAACGCATCAATTATGGCTGACTGCGGCCGGTGATGTGACCGGAGGCTACCGTGTTACATAGTCGGGGCGATACCATGATGGGTTAACAGACAGTGTGGCCTCTTGTTTGTTGTTAAAGCCTGATGACACACGGAGGTGGCGCTCTGTTCCCTTTTGTTTTCTATGTTCGTGGTGGAAGCCCCTGAGCTTCCAAAACTGTGATAAACTGTTGAAAACTTGGAGTATGCAACAGCAAGTGGATTGTTCAGCTGGCAGCCATTAGCGCCAAGAGTTAAAGAAAACATTTTGTCTTACTTCAATAGTAGTCTGTGTAGAATTTGCCTTGTTATTATCTCTACAAGTAAAAATCAATTCTGTTCTCACCCGAACTCGTAGTACCACATTGCCTAGAAAGTCATCTTGACCTTTGTCCTTTCGGGCATCTTTAAATATCCTGGAAATCAGTGATGTGTGTTAAAATCAGATATGGAAGAAAGGTAAGGGGAAAAATCTTTAAATCATCAAGAAACTTTCAAGTAAGGATTTTTAGCAACAAGTTCAGATACCAGTGCCGATACTTGGCATTTTCACGAGAACTACCAGGGATGCAGCGGTTGCAGCTGGGACCTGGCTCTGGCACTCCACCACTGTCCTGAAATCATTAGTCTGTATTGTTTTAGAAAAACTGTCACATGACAATAAACAAAAATGTATCAGTACTTGTATCTGTGAGTACTTGGGGAAGTATCAGTACTTGTATCTGTGAGTACTTGGGGAAGTATCAGTACTTATATCTGTGAGTACTTGGGGAAGTATTAGTACTTGTACTTAAAAAAATGGTATCGGTGCATCACTTATATATATATATATTTTATTTAAATCATACATTAAAACAGGGATGCATACCACATTGCCTAGAAAGTCATCTTGACCTTTGTCCTTTCGGGCATCTTTAAATATCCTGGAAATCAGTGATGTGTGTTAAAATCAGATATGGAAGAAAGGTAAGGGGAAAAATCTTTAAATCATCAAGAAACTTTCAAGTAAGGATTTTTAGCAACAAGTTCAGATACCAGTGCCGATACTTGGCATTTTCACGAGAACTACCAGGGATGCAGCGGTTGCAGCTGGGACCTGGCTCTGGCACTCCACCACTGTCCTGAAATCATTAGTCTGTATTGTTTTAGAAAAACTGTCACATGACAATAAACAAAAATGTATCAGTACTTGTATCTGTGAGTACTTGGGGAAGTATCAGTACTTATATCTGTGAGTACTTGGGGAAGTATTAGTACTTGTACTTAAAAAAATGGTATCGGTGCATCACTTATATATATATATATTTTATTTAAATCATACATTAAAACAGGGATGCACCCTCCTTCCCCCTCTCTCTCAACCCCTCCTCTCTGTTCTTTGGCTATCCTTTACCCTCTTTCAATTTCTTCTTCCTACTGGGTCCTACCTGGTATATGTATTTTGTGTCCTGTAGCCGTCTAGGTTTAGCTGCAAATAGCTTTTTACAACTTTAGGCTGCATCATCAGTGATGTGAGTACCTAATGACACATTGACCTGACGATGTATATTATGTGTGTTTGTTTGTATAACCTTTTGCAAATATCAATAAAAATTGAATAAAAAAAAAAAAAAAACAGAGATGTACAAATCCCAGGAGCTCCGTATGCTCCTTCAAAATGACAGCTGCCTCCTAACTTTAACATTTTTCTCTAGTCTAGTTTTGGAGCTGGAAAAGTTTCTGTACTTGTACAGAGTACGGTACTTGGTATCTGAACATCCCTACTTTAAAGTGAGTCTGCGTTTAAATGATGTACACTAAAGTATTTACATTCTGAAAAAGCAGTAAAACCAAGCTCTTACCTCTGGGGCATGTGGTAAAAATAATCATCAAGGTCCACAACACATGCACTGATATTAGCGCCTCTCCCTTTTATTTCCTATGCATCTTGGCAGCCTGCCAGCCTTTTAATTTAAACATACTGTAAGCTGCTTTCAGAATGTTTTACTCCCCATTACAAGCAGCTGGAGAGGTCACTGAGGGTTTGTTTTAAAGCTTGTTTCTTTTTTTTTTCTTTTTTTTTACCTGCATGTTAAGAATATGTAAATACCTAAATGTTCATAGTCTGGGCATAGGTGCACTTTAGTTCTCATTCACATAGATGTGCATAGCCATACAGAGTTCAAGTCTGTGCAGAAAACTGCACCCGTTAAGGAACAGCTGCTGTGTGTAGCCACATGCAGCCGCCTGTTCAAATCAATGATAGCATGTGGCTTCACGCCGACACAAACTGTCTGCGTCCAAGGGCATGCATCTATACCTGTACGGATGTGCAAGTTTGGGTCCGCATGCAGCTGCGCCCTGTTATTCAATTAAACAGGTGCATGCACATGACTACACGCAGCAGCTGGGCCTCCTGGCACAGGTTTCTGCACGAACATGCACGGTGTACAGCTGTGCACGTCCGTTTGAATGAGCCCTTAGGTAGAACTGCAGCCAAACATTCTTTTGGTTGTAAATAGTGGAAGAGTTCATTCAGCAAAGAAACCTGGAAAGATAGTCTCACCTTTCCCTATCGTATCTGAAGTTAAACAAATTGCTGGAGTTCCAATTTAATTAATACAATTATGTCCTTGTTGGGGAGATTTCCCATCGATTTGCCTACTACTGACAACCTTTCTATAGGACAGGAAGTAAGGGGCAACTGAAAATAATTGATGCTGCTTGTGGATTCTGAGTGTAGCTCTGCCTAGCTTACCTTTTTAGTCCATGCAGATCTGTCAGCTCCCCAAGTTTTGTCTTAACAGATTCCACGTCATCATAATCCCTTCAGGGGAATAACAGATAATAAAATACATTATTAGGACAATAGTAGGCTGACAACAACACTGAATGTACATTCTGATTACAATAGTTCTATGTTGGTAAAAGCAGAACTGTGACTGGAATCATGAAGTCTTTTTAAAAGTTAAAATAATGTAGCTTCCACTCAAGCTGCCAGAAAGTGGTTGGAAGAGAATCACATGAATATAAAAAGAACACAGTGGCTCAGTGATTAGCACTTCTGCCTTGCACTGCTGGGGATCCCTGGTTCAAATCCCGGTCAGTACACTCTCTCCAAGGAGTTTGTGTGTTCTCCCTGTGATTACATAGCTTTCCTCCAACACACCAAAGACATGCTGAAAGGTTAATCAGCTCCTGTCTAGATCAGCCCTATGTGCATGTGAGATAGGGACCTTAGATTGTAAGCTCCTTGGGGGCAGGGACTGATGTGAATATGCACATGTAAAGTGCTGTCATCACTATATAAATACCAATAATAATAAATAAAAACAATGTCATCACACAAGTTCTATTTGTTGCTGCACCAGCCATGCCAAAGTACTATGCAACAGTATCAATATTGTCTGATAGTGTGTGCCAAATTAACCAAGCATATGTACTCCATTACCACAGTGGTGTAAATACTGTAGTGAGAAGAGAGCTGAATAAGTATGGACAGACAACACACCACTATCATGCAACAAATTACCAGTTGTTGGACACTTTTATTTATTAGGTGCACAAAGCACTAAATAAGCGTGCATAAAAGAATTGGTGCATTTTCTCCGAATGCCAATTTTTGTTAAACCCCCATTAGAGAGGTTTAGATTAAAAAATGTCACACAGAAAACCCCATTCTCTTGTATAGTTATACATGAAGCTAGTTCTGTACTTTAGTCAATAGAATACTATTTCATCTGGTTCAAGATGCAAGATTCTCACATTGCAAGATTCTCACAGCCACAGCCATGGCTCCCAGAGAAAGATGCATCATGGGATTTGTTTCACCACAGGAGTATGCCCACCTCTGGTGTAAATGCTGCTAAATTTCCTCAGCATGTCCACCAATCAGCTAACAGGTTGGCGGAACAAACAGAGGGGGAGGGGACAGGAAGGAGTTTCCTCAGTTGCATTGCATGCTGGGACATGTAGCGCACAGAAGAGCACTTCCTGTGTACTCGTTCCTCCTCAGGAACCTGAAGAGTCACAGTTTGTGATGATGTCAAATTACACCATTTTGGTTGATTAGAGCAAACTACACAGATTCAATGCATATATAAAAGCTGTTTTAACTCCCAAAGGACTGGTAATTCTGTCCACCTAGTCCTGAGATTTGCACAGCTCTGCCACACTGCACAGTCCTGCCTGTCAAGGGAGGAGACTTGATTTTCTCTGATGCAGTTTCACTTTCACTCACTGGTCTCCTCCCTGCTCCGACCCTATGGACAGTGGAAGGAGAAGTAGAACACTAATGTGCTCATCTCTCTGTCACTCTGCTCTCTCCTCCTATCATGACAGTCCTTGCTTCTCCCTTCCCCTGTCTTGTATATCTGCCTGGAGTTCAGCTTTAAACCTTTTAAAGTGCATACATTTGGTTTTCACAAAAGTAGTAAAAAAACAAAAATGTCTACTCGTACATAAACTATAATGCATGTAAGAATCTTTGCTTACCACATATCCATAGTAAATCTTGCATGTTCAATGTCTTCTACTTCCCTAGAAACATATCATATTAGGAAAATAGAATTATTCTACACATGTAAAAAAATGTACAGTATTTTCCCATTGTGCTTCTGCAGAAACCAATAAAATAAAATCTAAACAAAATCTAAATACAGTGATGGGAATTTATCAAAACTGGAGCAGACAAAATCTGGAGCAGCTGTGCATGGCAACCAATCAGCATTCACCTTTTATTTTCAAACCTTAACTGAACAAACTGAAGGGAGAAGCTGACTGGTTGCCATAGGCAACTGCTCCAGATTTTTCTGCTCCAGTTTTGATAACTCCCCCCAGTAAGATTAGAGAAAAGTAAAAAAAAAAAAGTGGGGGAAGAAAAGGAATATTAAATTAAGCTAAAAAAAGCAGTATAATTGCAGATTATTTTTAATAATAATAACTAGGGATGAGTGGACTGGGCATAGTTTGGTTCACAGGAGGTTTGGCAAACCCAGCAGGAAGACCAGGAACCCCAAACATAGAACTGCCCTCTTTTGAAGCCTAGAGGAACTGAATCTTGCAGAAATCCTTTAAATAGCATGTTTGCCGCTGCATGTGAAGTTACAGAAGAGTAAGATATAGACCTTTAAAAGTGACATAAAAAAGAGGGTAGGGTACCCCTTCAAATTCAAACCATACACCTATCCAGACATGTAGCCTGGGTGGCCAGTTAAGCCATCTGAGCCATACCAGGCCCCATGGCTTTCAGCACTGGTGGAGTAGCTTAAAAGCAGGGGGCGGCCAAGCCTTCACTCCTTGCTCCAAGACTGAGGGACAAGGACCTCTTACCCAAATCTGGTTCCCAAGAGAATGTGGGGTTTGTGTGGGAGGCTGATAGGAATCTGGATTCTCCCTTTTATGAATAATACAGTTTTCCCCCTTCCAGGGGAATGAGTACGGGGTACATAAGTACCTCTTATTACTTATTTTCAGAAAGAGTTAAAACTAAACAAACACACTAACATATTTGGTCGATGACGTCACCCAAATTTCTTTACGCTGTACGGCCCTTTTGTCTTATTTTCTTATTAAGTCTTATTTCTGTTTTGTTTTTTTCTTTAATCTTTTTTACAGTACATTAATCCTTAATCTCCCTCCTCTGCAGCCATGTCACTTACTAATGAACAGGGAAATGCTCAAACAGAGCACTTCCCTGTTCATTCACATGCTGAAGTGATAATAAACACTGTTTACTATCACTTCAGTTATAAATAAACACACTCACTGTATTCATTCAGGAAAGGAAGGTGGATCAGATTTCAGGATAGGGGGGTCAGTTTCTCATATTTACTGCCCCCCCCCCCCCGCCCCCCCCATCCTGAAATCCAGTCTTCTCTTTCCGTCATTTCCTCCTCCCCGTGCTGTGTGGCCACAATCTGCTCCACTCTGTATCCCCTCCAAAATCCATTGTCTCTGCAGATATAGGTGGCGGGACAATAGCGGGAATCGGAAAGCACACAGGGACAACTAAGGGGAACAGAATGTAGGCCCAGAGTGAGGAGGATCGCTGGCAGGCAGGAAACACTGTTGGGCAGCTATAACAACCGTCAGCTCATAGCAGAAGTGTCAATGCAGCTGACGTAAGGCATACTGACCTGGCCAGCTGGAAGTGGTTCAGCTCCACCGTATGCCTTATGTCGGTGGCAGGGACAGGTTGCATGTTAGATGCACATCTTATTTTTTTATTACAATTGTAATTTACAGCCGTGTGATTTTTCTTTTCAGCTTACTCCTGAAAATAAGGATTGGTATGGCAAATAGTTGTTATATCTTGAACTTCAATGCCAACAGCAGGAGGAAGAGGAGTATGCTGGATCAAAACTCATAAATGGAGATATTTATCATCTTGCTAACATGTTGCAATTTACAGTGTTAAATAAAGGGTTGTCTTTTATCACAGGTTCCACATCCTCTCTTAAATTCATGCTGCCCCTTGCAGGGTGTTGCTTGAGACAAAATTCTTAATTTTAATTCAAAGTCAAATAATGATTCAGTAATTAAAATCTAATATTAAACCAGCGCTTCTCCGAATAAAGTGACACCATGCTACAGATACCTACATTATAAAAGTTTCATCCCATACAGGATTTAAGGTCTGGGGTTTAATTTGCGTCCTGTGTGTCTGGTCCTCTGGAAGTGTGTTCCGGACAACGGCTTTCTGCTTTTGTTTCTTATCGGGATTTGGACTGATATCCCTGGAGTAATTGCCAGGCCGACTCTCAATTCCCAACAGACAGTACGGGTCACTAAAACCTTCCAGAAAATAACCAGTATAAACAACAGTTAGAACAAATCCATGCCAAAATATTCACTAAAATACAACATCAATCAAAGAGAGTAAAAAAGAAGTCATGTTCAAGGGAAAATAAAGAAGTCCCTTAACATATTAAAGGATTATTAAAGAATATGTAAACCCTAACTGAATGACTTTTACTTCGCTAAAGCACTAAAACATAAACCATTCCCATTTCTTTTTTTTTCACAAAGATTTGTATTGGTATTTAAAGAGCCGTAGCCAGCTCCTTTTGCGCCCGAGGCAAGAACAGAAAATTGTGCCCCCCAACAAACGTGTGCGGTATGTGACGTCATGCGCCTCGCCTCCAGGACGGCAGCGCGCATGTGCAGAGTGCACTGGTGGCCAAATCCAATATAGCATAAAACATATTTTAATTTGACAAAACTGATTGAAAACATTTTTGGTTTCCGTTCATATAGTCCGAAACGAATTTATAGTCTTTGCACATGTCTCGTAAGGAAGCTCCTACATAGAAAGTTTAATGCTGGATTACTGCACAGATCTGGAAGAAATACACAAAGAACAGCACGATTTAAGTAAGAACACACATGCCTCTCTAATTTTGATTGTATGTGTTTATCCCAGAGTTCAGCTTTAAAGATATTAAAGTCAAAAGGTTTTTAAGCTATTTTAAATTCTGATTAAATCACATACAATGGATGCTAATCCTCAATGTTTAAAAATTTAGATTACTGCAGAATCAGCAGGTCGCCTGAGCACTGGCCCTGATATGGCTCCTTTCCTTTGAAGGGTCCCATGGAGCCACCCTTGTGTGTGCTAGTAAGCTGTGTGTGACCACAAACACACAGACACAGCAAGGCAAAACACTCCCCTGCTCCTTCATTCTCTGTTGCCTTTCTCCCTGCTAATAGATGGACAACTAATGGAGATTGTTCTGTCCCCTGTGATCTTGTAGAGAACAGGAAGTTCAGGGAAGCTGAGATTTAGAGCTGTTTGAAAATATGATGACTGTAAGCGCTTGGTCAGAAATGTAAATAAATACTTTGCTGGGCAATGTGTATTTCTTTGATATGGATACATTACTGTAAACAAGTTTAAGAGTTTAATGCTGCTTTAAGCAGCAGATAGGTTTAATAAAGAGTATTCCTGTTCAAACATGGTAAAGCTTTGTTGTCTCATTTTAGCTATTGGTCATTTTTTTAAATGTAATCCTTGCTTTCACTTTTTTTCATCCTTAGCGGCATCTCAGTGGTGCTGACCAGAGATGGATCATGATCCACAAGACAACCTAAGCAGGAGCCAAGGGCCTGGAAAATGTCCAGGGTCCCAGCTACAACCATCATGCTGCCGCATTAAACACATATAATATGGTCAAAGTTGTGCACCGGCCATTTTACAAGGGACAGTACGCATGCAGGCAGTTAGTGTCTGATAGGACACCACTTCTCACTTCAACAGTGGACCATATCTACGTAACTGAAACCATCAGAAGTCCATGTGACAGGATTACAATGCTGGAGCATAATTGAGAGATAGAGGATTGTTACTCCATAACAGGAAGACACTGAACAAAGATGAGCATGACAGGTTCACCATGTATTATTTTAATTAAAATGTCAGATTTAAAATGACAAAAAATTAAGTTAGGAATTCTTTTTTTACATTGTAAGGAGAATATGAGATTTTAGAGACTGGGGTTCAATGTGCAATAGAACTTGCTCAGGCCTGATTTTACAAATATGTTATTCAGACAAATGTATAAACTGATATATATATATATATAAACATGATCTTACCACTAACATCCTTCCCAAGAATCCCTTTGGCTTGTTTGACTGTAACTTTGACACAGAAAATCGGTGGCTGAAAACAGAAGGTTCAGAATGTCATGCTTATCCCACCTTACACCACACATTGTAGACATGACTCATTATTAGAAATAATGTGAACTTGATGCAAACTCCACTCTGTGAGCCGAGGTGTCATAATACTTTTCATATGACACCTCGGCTCACAGGCCCGAATGGCATTCGGGAGTCCCCGAATGCTATGTAGCATTTGACAGCTAAAAATGTCAAATGGGCGGAGCGAGCCGTGACGTCACGGCTCACTCTGCCCATCTGTTTACTTTCGAGCAGGAATGTCATTTTGCGGCGAGTTCTCATCGGGTTCGGACGGTCGTCATGCGGCGGGACTTTTTTTATTTTGGCGGGTCGGTGGGGGTCGTGCATCGTGAATGACGCTGGATTACATCGATGGATGGATTTAAAAAAATATATATATATTATTTTTTTAATCAAAGGAATAGTCAAAAATTGTCTCTGTGTTTTTTTCAATTAAAGGATTTTATCAAAAGTCTGGAATTTTCAATAACTATTTTATTTAACCCTTTAGTGAATGAGTAGGGGTACAAGTACCCCTCACTCATTCACAAGGGGGGGTCGGCATCTGGGTGCCCCTTAATTAAAGGGGTACCCCGATGCAAATAAGCCCCCTTGCCCGCAGACCCCCACAACCACTGGGTCAGGGTTGTGGGGAAGAGGCCCTTGTCCCTTGCTCGGATCAAGGGTCTGGTAGGAGTGTTAGGGGGGACGCCACGTTTTTTCCTCCATTTTTGGGGGCTGGGGTTCCCCCTTAAAATTCCTACCAGACCTAAAGGGCCTTGTAGGGATTTTGGGGGGAACCCCACGCACTTTTTTTTTTGTTTTAACTTGGGGGGGTTCCTCCCAACATTCCTACCAGACCTAAAGGGTCTGGTATGAATTGGGGGGGGAACCTCACGCTTTTTTTTTTCCTCTTCTGCAGACTAAAAAAATGTTAACAAAAATTTCTCTAATGTCACTTTGCTGCAATGAAATTTCGTCCAGACTACCGCTAACGAATATTGTCCGAATCCCGAAAAACGAAATAACGCAAAATCCGAATAAAAACGAAACAAATTTTTCGCCAGTGCACAGGTCTAAAGGTGCTCATACATTGCACGATTCTCGTACGAGAATCGCGGGAAATCCTGCGATCGTACGAGAATCGTCGCACGTCTTTTGTCTAAGGAGCATGCTAGAAAACTGATGCTGATGCTCGGGAGACAAATGCTGAACGAGCCGGTGTGCGCACGCGCACACTGCCCGTTCTGCATTGCGGTCATCGGAAGCCCGCCCCTCAGCGGGGCGGGCTTTCGATGATCGCAAGTACGATCTGCCTGTCCAAGATGGGCAGATCGTACAAGCTTTTAATAAGCTTACGGCCATCGCAAGACAAAAGTCTTGCGATGGTCGGAAGGTGTATGGGCACCTTTACACTTGAACTCAGACATTATCTGCCTGCTGCCACAATATACAGTATATATAAGCACCATAAGTACTAAAAACATTTGTGTGTGCTTAAACTAAAATAAAACTCTATCTAAATAAAGTGCATTAAAATAACATAATAACAACCATGCAATACATAACTATGAATGTACAATCAAGTTTCTTGATATATAGAAGGTGTGGAAATTGAGACCACAACTCTAGTGCTGCAAATTCATACATTTCCCAGTTCATGAACGAATGATGTCCCAATATAACATGTGCTATATATACAATAATTATCACTGCATAAAAGTATTTCATAAACAAACATTGATGAGGAAAGTGCTAATAAGCCAGATAGAAAATAAGTGCTGGACAGAGGCATCCCTACACTTTTCACCACTTGAGACGGCGGGTTGGTGCAGTGGCGGCGCAGGTTACGGGGAGGGGGGACGGGATGGAGTGCGGTGCACAGTACTTCTATGCGGCGTTCACCACAGCTCACTGAGGTCACTGGTTGCCAGGAGCTGGATGGGACGCCATCCAGAGCATCCCACTCAGCTCCTGGCAACTAGTGATGTCAGTGAGCGGAGCAGGACGCCAGCCAGAGCGTTACAGGATTCTCTTAGCAACATGGAACACTCTCGCCAGAAAGGGGGCCCCATGACCCAATAAGATGCTGCTCGAGGCAACCACGTCAGGCTGCCTCATTATAGGGACAGTCCTGGTGCTGGAAAATCCCATATGGATCTTCATATAAAAAAAACAATCGCGGTGATCCAATCCACTCAACACTCACAGAGTGCCAAAAGAACACGCAAAAGATCTTTAGGTTATTAAAACTCTAAATGCACCTTTCAGCCACTCCAATGGGCTGATCAATATAACTGGTTTAAGGGAGTACTCATTCGCTATTTAACAGCAGTAGCAAAGCTCAGACATAGAAAATAAGTAGAACTAGATAGTGCCTTCAGTTAAAAAACACATGACAAGCATTTATTAAAACAACTCTAAAAACTCACATTTGTTGATGCATACTTACAGGGTTGTTCACAAAAGGGGGAAGAGTTTGGAGAAGGCAGAGAAAATGAACAATCTAGGACAACATAGCTGAACTGTACGTATTGGGGGGGGGGGGGTCAGACCAGGACTTTACTGAGGGATGATTGCAGCGTGCACTGCCTATTGGACTGCACACTTACATGAAGTCACACTGCACAACTGCCTTAACAGAAAAGTGGAGATTAGACTATACGGAGTACATTGTCTATGTGATGGCATATCTTCCATGAGTTTATTTGTGCTTTAAGTTCTGTGTATCCCACTGAAATGTACAGTGGAAGGGTTTCCTTCCTGAATTTTGTTTGCATACCTCTTCCTTTTTCTTCTTAAAGTATCACAAGGAAAATAATCAAAGAGATCTAAGATCACCAGATTATCAACAAAAGGAAGTGGACTGGCATGGACCTGTGAAACTATATTTGGATAAACAAAGTGAAACATTGAGCAGGTAGGCTGTGTCCATTGTATGTATTATATGACTTATTTTCAGATCTGACTGATTGATACCTGTAATATACTATAAAAATCACTATGTAAACTCATCATTACATTACATTTACTATTTTAGTACAAATTTGCAGCTCTGAATGAAATGTACTTTGTAATGCCACATTGGGTATAAATACAATCTGCAATATTGTATTGTAGTTACCTCAAGGGCTTTAACGCTTTGAAGGATGGCATTATGTTCTGCTGGATCCATGTTGAAGGCCTGGAAGAAACAAACAGTTACCAAAGCTGCCACAAAATGTAATGGGTAGGAAAAAGTGTTTGCACACAGTTCTAGATCAAATTAAAATCTTTTTTTCCAGCCAGAGCGTCCCAGGTTGTTAAGAGTTCTCCAACCCAGCTCACTGACATCACTGCTTGCTAGGAGCTGAGCAGGACACTCTGAGCAGGATACTCTCAAGTATACACAAGCCCCAAAGTCACATGTCTGCTTTGTTCTATACAGTTTAGGAACATCCAGATAAGAGATGTCAGTTTCATCACGTGAAAGACAATTTGGCTAAAACCATCATGAAAACCACATTACAGTCAAAAGATGTTTCAGTCCTACTCGGATAGATGCAATACAATAGATTACTTGTGGTGACAGTAATAGGAATTATATTTCAAACTATTGCTAGTTAGGTTTTTAAAGTGTAAGGGTTCATGCACATGGGCGGCATCCAGGATTTCTACAGGTTTTCTGCGTCCAGGAATGTGTGTCTGTATGCACACGCAGCTGTACGCAAGTACTGGCGTATACCCACCTACAGCCCAGCCTTGACTTCTTTGGGAGGCAGCACCTGTGACTTCCTGGTGAGGGGAAATACAGTATGTGGAAATTCACATTGTAATGGCTTAGCCGCCCATGTGTATGAGCCCTAAGTGTAGGCAAATAGCTACATGCATAATAAAATACATTTGTTTTAACTGTCTTACTTGCCAAAACAAATGTAATTCTATTTCTAATCCAGATTCCCCTGCCAGATACTATAGTCATGTATTTTTCCCTCTGCAGTTAAAACACTACAGCTTGATCAAGGCTGTGATTGGTTAGTAAAGGCCATTTCTCAAAGTATCACCATAACCGTCGGCTCCGCTCATCCCAAGACCTCCTGCTTTCCAGCTCCCTTGTCAACTCCTCCCATGCTCGCCTCCAGGACTTCTCTAGAGTCTCTCCCATCCTATGGAATTCTTTACCCCAACCTGTCCGTCTGTCATCTCTTTGCTCTCTCATCCAATCAGCAAGTTCTATTTGTTAGATTCCCTGCACTGAGCAATGCAGTAAAGCCTGATTTCAGTTCTGCTTCTTCCTCCAAGGCCCCTAAGTCTCTTATGCCCCCCATCTTATCCAGAGGGAGTAAACAGTAATGTGATTCCAAGTACCAATGTCCTGAGCAGCTGACAGGAGCTGGGCAGACAGCATCAACTTCATTATACTGTGCACCACTGTTGCACTTGCCACCACTCCAATCCTCACTTACTCTCCTCTCCCTCATTGCAGGCTACACTGCTGAGATTCCTGGGTATCTCACTTAGTTGTGTACACACTCCACAACACAGAAAATACCATGAGCCTGTCTGCCGCAGCACCATTACCTCTAAATTGTTTTAAGCTGTTGATCTGAATCCTGTTTGAGCTAGCGTGTTAGAAGCTACGCGGAGCAGAGAATATTCAGTGAGACTTTAATCCCCAGACACATAGTCACACAGGCCAGCATCTGGAGAAAAGAGGTTTAACCATACGGTAAGGCTTCTTTACAGTTAGTGCTGTGACAATGTAGACTTCCACATGAGCCAGTTCTAGCCAACTCAGTAGATTGTTAAATCATGAAAGGCGTGATGTGTTTCTGAATGCAGAATATAACTGACTATAAATATTTATAAGAAATATCATAGTACATTGTTGATACAGAGAGTATCACATCCCAGTGGATCAGGAAGGGATGTTTCTCATTGGATTGGAAGTGATCTATCTTTCACATTAAATAAGTGTTTGGCAGTATTTGAATGGAGGATCTAGAATTGTTCTTGCACAGGGCCCTTTGTTGTCTATGTACACCACTGAATAGTATGGTGTGCTGGGTGTAACAGTGTGTATAGCACAGCATGCTAGGTATAATAGGGAGAAAGCAGGGCATGGTATGTTGGGTATAATAACATGAATGAGACAGTGTGCTTGGTGTAACAGGGTTCACACCACACAGTGTCCATGGGTTAGGTGCAACAGATTGCATGGCACAGTGTGTTGTGTGTAACAAGGTACTTGGCACAGTGTGTTGTATGTAACAGAATGCATGGCACAGTCAGGTCTGTTGTATGTAACAGGGTGCATGGCACAATGTTTTGGGTGTAACAGGGTGCATGGCAGTGTGTCAGTGCGTTGTGTGTAACAGAATGAATTGCGCAGTGTGTAACAGAATGCATAGAACAATCTGTTGTGTGCTATTAGGTGCATGGCACAATGTGTTGTGTGTAGCATAGTGCATGGCACAGTGTTGTTTGTGTAACAGAGTGCATGGCACAGTGTTGTTTGTGTAACCGAGTTCATGGCACAGTATGTTGTGTGGCACAATGTGTGTGGCAAAATGTGTTGTGTGTACAATGTGTTGTGTATACCAGAATGCATTTCACAGTCAGTTGTGTGTACTACAATGCATGGCACAGTCAGTTGTGTGTAACAGAATGCATGGCACAGTGTGTTTTGTGTAACAGAATGCATGGCAGAGCAACCCTGATTTAGTAAAGGAGTAGAGTATGTTCAACATTTTGCTTTGGGACCTCATGATCCATAGTTACACCACCATGCTAACGTTTGGCATAGTGTTTTAGACTTGGTTTACCACTCATTCTGTGTATACTACTTCTGCCATACAAAACTACTTATTCATGCGTTTTGGCTGTCTCTTACCGTTTGCAGATAGTTGTACAGTTGGTCATTATCAGATATATGTTGTGACTCAGAAACCCCCATGCGGTGTATTATGGTATACAGGGCTTCTCCATAAAGCAGATTACGCTGAACAAAAAGAGTGAAAACTTTGTTAATGTCAGAGCAGCTGAACCAGGTGTTAGAATCCCAAAAACAAAGCATCGAAGCTAAAGAATTTGTGGTCCACTGAAGTTTGAATTTATTAAGAATATTTTAAAAATCTGGCCTAGTTAATGTTAGTTAAGGATCTGGTTATAATAATTAGACACCAACTCTCTGTATAGTTATAATGTGGCAATTATGTAGGACGATGTCCCAATCTGTTAAAAAAAAGTCACATATATCCTTAGCTAGGACCTCAAAACTTCTGAGGAAGTAGATCGCCTCTTTAGTCCTCATCATACCTTATTTTATTATTAGATAAACATGAAAGTATTAAACACAATGTATTATTATCTTAACCATGTGAAGTCCTTGGACAGACTAGGTAGTTCTGCAAGTATTCAGGGTCATTCAGCTGTGTGTGTAATTTGAACTTCTGCTATTGAGGTCTATTCAAAACACTGGCTATTCATGACAAATCAGAAAAGTCAGTCTATTACATACAAAAATATGTGGGTGTGTAAGGGGGGCGGAACTAACCTAATATATCACCTGTTGGCTACAAGTAACAAATATAAAATATTCGGGTGCAATATATTTTATAATTCATGTTATATTTACCCTAAACCAAAATAAAAATGTTTTTACAAATTAAATATTTTAGTCCACATTTTAAGGCGCATTACGTGAATGTGCGTCAATGCATTTGTTTAACCTAGGAACAAAAATGTAATGTACTGCAGCTGATACGTCTTTACATTTGGTGGCTACATTAGTTTTCTTTAAGGCGAAGTATTTTCTTTGTAAGTACAAAATGACCACTTAATCCTGTCAGAAATCCAGGGACCTTGTAACATTCTTTGGACTGAACTGAAATCTCAAATAATGTTAGCTGCTTCCTCAGCTACCGTTTGTGAACTACAAAGCAACAAATTTCTATGTAATAAAGAGGGGGAGGGCTTTGTAGTCCAAATCAAATGAGCAGCCCATGGGCAATCTCACTGAGAAATAGGAATATGTAAGGGGTAGGCAGGTTTTAGCATTCTCGGCAAGTACTAAAGCTTTGCTAGTTAGAAAGACCTAAGGTTTGTCCATGACAGGAAGGTATAGAATGCAGCTGCAGGTATACAGTATTTGTATGCGTCTTGGTGCCTGCACTTCATACCTGCAGTCGTTTTCCCTGCTTCCCCCAATGACGGAGTCTCTTTAAGTACATTTGTGAGCATTTAAATATAGCAGCTAATGTTATCCACTTTTTTTTGTAAAGGTGCAGGCTCCAGGGTTATCATGCTGATCTTGGCTTCATACCTGTACCGATGCAGAGACTTTGGGTTCTTCATTGCTTTCCTTTGGAGGTTTGTTTTGAGATGGGCGGATCGTGCCCTTTTTTCCATACCTAGCCTATGAGATAGGAAGGAAATATCACCAGTTTGAAATCCATTGGTAGCGGAGAAGAACACCGTACAACAAAGTCCTAAACAATGAAACTCTAAACTGCTCTGTATTGTCTTACCTCTCTACGGGTGATACGATGAGGGACGAGTGAAGACTCCATCTGCCAGAAACAATAGCAAACACAAAATAAAACTGAGAATATTATAATCACAGATGTACAAGAAACAAGTACTATGTTACGACAAGGTTTAAATTAATGCTCCATCTCTGCGAGTGGCAGTTGCACAGAAAAAATTAAATAGAACATATTATATAATCACAGCACACAGTGGACCAAATCCCTGCAAATTGTTAGAGAATAGAAAAAATATGTTTTTCTAAAAAATAAATACAAATGGAAAAAAACCCAGATTTTTCACAGTTTTGGCAATAATAATGTGTAGCTCACCGAAAATAATTTGTAATATTGTACATTCTTTTATTTGTCCTGATTTATAGGGTATATCATATATCTGGCATTTCAGTTTATTTTGGGAGTTATAGGTCACAAAATACAAGGAGTGAAATACAATTTTAGTATGGAACGATTTTAGAATGTGATATGTTTGTCTCCTATCTTCAATAGCTTCCTCAGCACTATATTTTCCAATACTTTTTTTTACTAAACATATTTTTTTAAACTTTTTTTACACTTTTTTTTTTACATTTTTAACAATGTTAAAAACGTTTTATTTTTAAATTATTATTCTTTTTTTTAACTAGGGGGCACTAAGGGGTTATCTTTTTTTTATTTACAGAGGCTTTAATACTTAGGGGTCTATTCACGAAGCTGCCGAAGGATCTGGCCGTAGCTTCGGCCGATCCTTCGGCTGGCTTCGGCCCCAGGACCCCTTCAGTTCAGTAGAACCGAAGGGGTGCTGTACGGGCTAGCCCTGTTGTGAGCAAAGAACACAAAGAAGTGCACACAACACCGTGAGCTGCTGCTGGCTGTGTAACTGTTACAGCTCTGGCTGTGATCACACAGAACTGTGACCACGTAATCTGCTGTTGAGGATCTGGACCCTGTTACAGGAACTCATCAACAGCAGTACCTAAAGAAGCCGCTGATCCCTTCACGGACCTTTTCGGTCGGGAAGTGGTTGATTGAACAATAAACAAAAGACAATTCCTTTATTATATAAAAATAAATAAATAAAATTCGTCCAACGATGTAATCCAGCATCAATCACATCGCCCAGCAATGTAATTCAATGTCAATCACGATAAATGACGCCGGCCGATTCACCTAAAGAAAAGTCCCGCCAGCCCAGCCGCTACCGCCGAATTCCCACCACAAAATGACAGGTCCAGCCCAAATGTAAGCAGATGGGCGGAGCGAGTCGTGACATCAGCTCCTTGTCCTCATTTGGCATGTAAACAAATGGACGGATCCAACCATTTATTTACAGGCCATTCGAGGACAGTTACTCATTCACAAGAGGGGGCAGCATCTGGGTGCCCCCTTTATGAAGGGGGGTACCCAGATGCATATGAGCCCCCCTGCCCAGACCCCCACAACCACTGGGCCAGGGTTGTGGGGCAGAGGCCCTTGTTCTCATCAGCATGGGGACAAGGTGCTTTTACAGGGGGTCCCTGGCATGTTGACTGGTATGGTGCAAGGAGGGGGGCGCTCACAGTGTTAGTGCTCGGATTAAGGGTCTGGTTAGGAATTTTAGGGGGACCCGACATTTTGTTTTTTGGGCATTGGGATCCCCCTTTCCTGGATTTGTAGGGGAGCCCCATGCAGCTTAGTGAATAACCCCCTGTGTTTCTAATTCATGATGGAATGGATATCTCCAGGACATAAATAAACCACCCAACTTTCTCACTAGACCCCATATGTTGGTGACTCTCAGTCCCTTTTAAAGAAGATTACCAGATATGGACAAGGTTTCCTCCAAACTCTCTTTTTGCCTTGCTGATTCTCCCCAAACCTCCGTGCTGCATGCACGGCCGTATCGGGCATCTCCCGGGAAGGACAGGTGCTGCGTGTGATTAGTACGCAGACCCTGTCCTTCTCTATGTGAGTATGCGGCCGTACGCCGCCCTACGCTCACCCGCCCTGCATGTCTGTGCGGGATGTCCATACTCGTACGCTGACAGCATGTATCCTGTTTGCATCCGATCCGGGACACCCGCACCCGTACGGACCTGCACTTGGGATGACCGTGGGGCGGTGTACAGCCGCATAGTCCCATAGAGAAGGACAGGGGCTGCGTACTAATCACACGCTGCACCTGTCCTTCCTGGGAGCTGCCTGATACAGCCGTGCACACAGCACGGAGCTGTACGTTCCGGCCTTTTCTTGTGTGAATGAGGCCTAAAGGGTGCCAGATTTAAGTGGGTAATTTACTTGGGAAAGTGAACTTACCCTTTAAGTACATTAATACGTGTACCTATATGTTCAGCACTAGTATGTACTGTTATCAGATGCAATAAATACATTTAATCAAAATGATGAAAAAACATGCAGTATTTAAAATAAAATATAAGCATGTATTTGAATAAAGCTTATTTTCTTACTTATTCCATGGATTCTCCAAAAAAAGATAAAGGGGGGGCGTGGCCAAGCAATGGAGCCGTAGAGACGTGTGAGCACTGAGCTCTGCGCCCCTGTGTACTTATTCAGCTGACTGACTGCACCAAACTCACAAGCCCCTTTATGGTGTAGTTTTTTCCAAAGTTCTTTTATTTGCTTTTATGCAAAAAATTACAAACCTAAAGCTGACCTTTACCCACGTTAACTAAAGATCATATCAGCCTGCAGCTCTGCACGCTGATATGAAATCATTTGACATTCATTAGCTAAACAAACATTTTTTTCCTTTTACGTACAATTATTTTATTTATTTTTGGAATTCATATAGCATCGACAATTTACGCATCACTTTACATTACATTTACATCAGTCCCTGCCTTCGAGGAGCTTACAATCTAAGGTCCCTATTTCACAGGCATACAGGACCAAGTAAGGCAGGTGCCAATTAACCCTCCAGAGTACCCAGAGGAAACCCATGCAAGCACAGGGAGAACATGCTGTTTTTCCACTTCCTGGTCCTCTTAGACATTAGTGATATAATCTAGGACTAACATATGCATTCTATAAACTGAAAAATCCTGTGAGATTTAATGAAAAAGGCATTTTACCCCTGAGATGATGTGCACTGTTACATGTTCCAGTCACATGTGCCAGAGTTCCAGGAAGTAGAGGGAGATGGAATCATCTGCCCTTAGTGAAAATGGCTACTGTCCGATGAATGAGGAGGAAAAGAAAAATAAAGTATGTGAAGAATAAAAATCCTGAGTATCTGTTTGTTAATGTGCCATTACCAAACATTTCTTTGTTGTCATTTTAAAGATAAGAGTGAAGTTCTTCCCTTTATAATCTTATTAATCATTCAAACAATTGGAAACACAAAAGAAAGGGAGACAGTGGAGACAGTGACATTAAATAAATTGTACACATATCCCCATCAAGTAGGTGCATAAGATGACTTTAAAACGTTAATAAATCCAATAATTCAGCCAAAAACATATTATAATTTCACATATTTCCCTGAAGTGAAGTTAAGGTCAGAAGCCCAATTGTAGATCAGTCAACCAACAAGTAGGCCTACAGTCCCATTTAGTAGATGGCACTTTATCTACATGTCGACATGGTGTGTTCTGTGGTAATGCAGGAAAATGTAATAGACTTGCCCTGGAAGTATACGCAACCGAATATATTTGTAGGGAAACATTGGTCAGATCTTTCCAAACTTCTAAGGTGGTTTTACATTTCGGTTTCGTTTAGTTTTTGAAATTTGTATTTCGGTGCAACTATACTGTATACATTCGACAGTGGTTTACGTAGCACATCATCTGTCACACCTGGATGGCTGGAGGGTTACCTGACGGCCCCCGAACTGGGAGTATAAAGCATGACATATTTGCAGGTATCAAAAGGAAATAATGATTCGTGAGTTGTTTGGCAGATTTAAAGTGACATTAAACCCTCAGATTTTTTAACATAACACAATACTGTAATGTGTGCCTTACTGTAATCCATGGTTGTTTCCCTTCTCTTTGCTGCTCTTCCTTTTAAATCCGTATCTCTTCTCATGCTGGGCAGAACTTCTGTTTTGCAGCAGACTGCCTTGCCTCTGAAATGGATGTGTGAAGGTTCACAACCTGAGCCAGCACTACAGGAAGAGGCACTCAGCTGCAAAGGGAAGTTCTCCCCTAGCATGAGAAGAGAGAAGGATTTAAAAGGAAGAGCAGCAAAGCGAAGGGAAACTACTATGGATTACAGTAAGGCACACATTACAGTATTGGTTTATGTTAAACAATCTGAGGGTTTAATGTCACTTTAAGGTTATCATTGGACATTAGTGCCCCATTACTGATGATGTCCTCTAGAGTTTTGACGTTGAAATCCATATGACCAGATTTGGGATAGTATATGAGAAAATTGTGGGCTCCACCATAATCGTGTATTGGGCAAAAAAGAATTATGGTGGACTGGAGGTCCCATGCTATGAATAATTTACCAGGCCCTTATTGTTGCTTTCACGGACATTGTGAGCGGGTAGGGCCTTGAAGGATCAGGTGTAGCAGAGCCCACTATCACAGCTTCCAAGGAGACTGCTGAGTCGTCCTGTTGGATAATTAGCCATCTCTTTGGCCCACCAGATAATACTTATAATAATTTAGAACTGTCGGTCCCCCCCTCCATCCGAGGTTGTTGCAGTACCCTTAAGGCTCTCTATGGATACATCCCCATTCCACAGAAATTCAGGAATCAGTCTGTCAATAGATGTAAGCACTGATTTTGGGGTCCATACAGGAGAATTCCTAAGTACATACAGAAACAAAGGAAAGATTTCCATTTTATAAGGTTGATTTTCCCAAATATAGAGTTAGGGAGATGCCACCAAGTATATAGTTTGTGTTCAAGTAGAGAAAGCAATGGTGATATGTTCAAGGGGATAAAAACAATTGTGGATTTGGATATTTCCAAACCCAGGTATCTAAGTTTGGTGACCCACTGTAGTGGAGATGAGACTCACTAAACAGCAGGGCTCAGGGGATCAAGTAAAATGTTATCTTTCCCCAGTTAACTTTCAGTCCTGAAAAAACTGC